TTTGGAGGATTAACCTCGCTGTCCATTCATAAAGAACCAAAAAGGTCCCAGTTCTCCCAGCTTGTGTCTCAGCACAGATCAGGTTTAATCCCACCAGGACAAACACAGGAGCTCCTGCAGATCCACAGGCTCATGCGTCTCATAATGAAAATACAAATGAGCGCTCATTGAACGGAGGTGACACGAACATCTGAATGACAGCGTAGGTGGTGAAACTGAGTTTGTAGCTTCAGTTATTTGAATATTAATAATCAGGCAGAGCCCTCAGGTATTTCCACAGTGAGACACCCTGCATCAGCACGCAGGAAATTATCATCTTACATAATACACATGTGTGCAGAAACACCTTCCAGGCAGCTGCATACGTGATCGGGAAACAGCAACATGATGTCTTTGCTCCTGCTCTGTCGTCAAGTTTATTGAAAATGCAGAACACTAACAGCACACCCCGACCTGCAAAAGGACCACAGGCATAAAAACAGCACAAAGAGATGTTGAACTGCACAAAAAAAGATAGCAAGGGCTCACAAAGACATGCAGGACTCCTCGAAAGAAAACTAAAAGGATCAGAAAGATGAAGAATTATTAGAAAATGATCAAAAAGACGCAAAAGTGCAACAAGCAGATCAAATCGGCCACGGGGAGGAATACAAGCAGTTCATTCTTGACTGAAATGACTCGTCCTCTTTCCTAAAGAGGACCACAAAGAAAAATAACACAAATAAAAAAGCAAAAAATAAAAAATAAACACTGCAAAACTTCCAAAACAACCCAAACAGGCATAAAACCACCAGGAGGAAATATGAAGCTGTCAGAGCGAGAATCAACACGTGAGCCACAAAACATGACAAAATGACCACAAAGAGGATAAAAACAACAAAGAGACAAATAAAACCGTTAAAGAGGAAAAACCCGCTTAGGGACCGTGTGGGGTCGGAGGTCGTGTGCAGGAAAGACAGCGCCGAGGCCTCGTTGCCTCTCAGACCATCAGACTTGTGTGTGTTTGCTGTTCTCGTCTCTTTCTGGTCACTTCAGTGTGAAAGTTTCACAGGTTGGACGATGAAAACGAGGCGAGGGGATAAAAGAGCGTGAAAGAGCCGAGACGTCAGCTCGTGTGTTACTCAAAGTGAAAACAAAGACGCTTCTCTGTGACGTCTCGCCTTCTGAGGAGATGACTAAGTGACCGCTTCCTGTTTGCTGTGCCTCGTGGAGCTTTTAACGTCCCGATGAAGGTCAGAGGCGTCGCGTGCAGGCTGTAAAATCACCGAGGTGGAGACCAGCAGAGAGGGAGGATGACGTGAACGCGGCGAAAGCCAAACGTTTTCTTTTTTTGGGTCATTTTCACGTGCTGAGCTCCACACTGACTCCATCAGGCACAAAGGACACAGTGTTACACAGTCTGCACAAACTCCAGTTTACAGAGTCTCCGAGGACAACGGTCCTCGCTCTCAGCGCTGCGGGGAAAGATGAACAAAGGAATAAAAGCCTTTTGTCATCCATGAATATTTCCCAGCAACACGTGTGACAACTGATGAGACCTTTTAAACACTTATTTGTTTGTCAGGGTCCGTGTGCAAAAAATACCAATAATGAAACACACTTCTTACACACTGTGTAAGCCATGCTGGCTGAGAGGCACCAGCACAGTCCAGACTCCAGTTAGTGAAAGTGAAGCTGAGCAGTGTTGGCACACCTGTAATCAAAGCAGCCACGCCCCTAACATCAAGCCTCATTAAAATCCAAATGCCTGCACGGGACGAGCGGTTTCAGAGAATCCAAACAGGTGAGTTATAAAAACATTCTCCCCCTGAGCAGCTGTTATGAAGCAGGATGAAGTTGCATATTTTAACATGGCAATCTTTGATGACTGACTCGCTGCTGGAGCCTCCGGCGGACATTAGAGGAACTGCAGGTTTGGGTACTTTTCACTCAGATTCCTTCCTGGTCTCACATCTGGACCTGAACACTGGAGCAGATCTCCTCCTTTGCAGGACTTTTGAAGGAATCGTGAGAGTTTGACCATCCAGGCCGAGTCTGCATGTGTTTTGTGGACTCTTATGATGGAGAGTGGTTTGTGGTCAAGTGTGGCCAGGATGAGAGCAACACCTCCAAGCCTGAGTCCTGGTTTCTCTGCTGGAAAATGGTGCAAGGATCTAAGTTTAGAGAGTTCAAGTTTCTTGGGATCTTCACATCTTATTCCCAGGTGACGAGGCGGTGGAGTGTGAGGTGCACCGGCAGGTTGCTGCGGTGTCAGCAGTAAATACTCCCCTGCTGATTCAGCTGCATTGGCTCCCTGTCAAGTTCAGGGTCCAATTTAAGAGCATAATCATGACTTATAGGGCCCTGCACGGTGTAGCTCCAACTTACTTAAGTGATCTTCTTCTTTCTTATCACCCCAGCAGGTCCCTGAGGTCTTGTAACCAGGGCTTGCTTGTTGTCCAGCATACAAGGTTAAAAACAAAAGGTGACAGAGCGTTTGTATCAGCGGCTCCCAGACTCTGGAACTCGCTCCCTTTGAGTTTGAGATCTGTGGACTCAGTCATGTCTTTTAAAAAGCAGTTAAAAACCTGTTTAAACTCACGTTTGGTTGATTTTGTTTTGTTTTAGATCTTAATGTCTGTTTTCTGCCTCTGTAAAGCACTTTGGGATTTTATCTTGAAAGGTGCTATATAAATAAAATTTTACTTACTTACTTACTTAATTCAGGAGGACTTTTGATTTATGCTCCACCCTCACCTCCGCTCATGGGATATGGGTGATGATCGAAAGAGTAAGGTCCCAAACACAAATGAGTTTCCTCTGTAGAGTGGTTGGGATCAGCCTTGGAGACAGGCTGAGGCGCTCGGGCATCTGGAGGGAGCTTGGAATATAGTTACTGCTCTTCTGTGTCTACAGAAACCAACTGAGGGATCTGTGAGGATCTCTCCTGGGAGGTTTTACGCCACGGGGTCGACCCAGAACCAACTGGAGAGATTTGGTATCTCTGGCCTGGGAACGCCTCGGGACCCTCCAGGAGTAACAGGGAGAGGGTCTGCCTAACCTGCTGACACTGTGATGAGATCACAGGATGTTCTCTGCACTGAGATCATTTACTGGGTATAACGGTTTCATCGATCGCTGTATGTAAACGACTTTACTTCTTTATAAAGTTTCAAATGTTTTACGCTTCTTAGTGTTTTGGCCCAACATAAATAAATAAAGAATAAATAAATAAACATAAATGTGCTTCCAGGTCCAGCTGTGTTATTGTCTGTTTGATGTGCATGGAGAACACTTTGACTTGTGGCACAGTCTTCCTCTCAGTCGCTGCAGTGACGGAACAAAGACGGGAATGTGATTCAGGGTCAGCCGCTGGCTTCTGCACGATAAAACGTGGAGTGTGGCGCCCTCTGCAGGATGAATGAGAATCTGTGCAGAGAAAACTGGTTTTATATTAATGCAACAATTCAGAAACAAACTCTCAGACCCTGAAAACAGCGTCAGCGTTCATTTGAGCAGGTTTACGTCGATTTGACCCTTTCAACGCTGGCCGTTCAACACTATTACCCAAAGTGCAGTGATTCCAGGGTTTAAAGAAAAAAGACTCACATTTCAGCCAATTAGTTTGAAGAGAGCTTTGACACTGTAAACCTGTGCAGTGGTGGAAAAGCAGCAACGTCACTGAAGATATAAACAGTCATTTGTTTTGTTGCTCTCGTGGGCATCTCCTCTTAATTTTTAATGATCATCTCTGTCCTCACAGTATAATTCAATTCAATTTTATTTATATAGCGCAAAATCACAACAACAGTCATCTCAAGGCGCTTTATATTGTGCATTAGATCCTACAATAATACATACAGAGAAAATCCCAACAATCATATGACCCCCTATGGGCAGCACTTTGGCGACAGTGGGAAGGAAAAACTCCCTTTGAACAGGAAGAAACCTCCAGCAGAACCAGACTCAGGGAGGGGCGGGGCCATCTGCTGTGATTGGTTGGGAGAGAGAAGGAAGACAGGATAAAGACATGCTGTGGAAGAGAGCCAAGGCACAACCATCCCCAACTACAGGCATCACTGGGTACAGCCCGTCAGTAGGTATGTGGAAGTTGGCCAATGACAGGTTGTGTTTTGGGTGAAGGCATCCTTACAGGAGCCAAACATATTGAAACCTTGACCAGAACAAGACACCACTCATCCAGCATCCCACAGTCCAACTCAGCAGCGCACACAATCCTTTTACTCTGATGGATTTGGTATTTCCTGTGCGGAGCTGAGCTCTGACGGTGAAGGTCAATCTTCTGTTTTTTTCTCTCTTCCTTATAAACACGTTCAAGTTTCAAAAGACAGACATCAGGAAAGAAAGAACACAAAGTATGAAGGGCACTCTCACTCTGTACAAGCACAGACACGCCCACGTGTGCCTTAGATTAGCTCATGATGTTATGCAGACCTGAACATGCGCAGGAGGACAATCTGACATCATCATTGAGCTCGAGCCTCGACCAGAGGGCGCTTATTGGTCCGTCACAGCTGAGTGACGTCTGTGTGAAGGAAGGAGACAAAACTTTTTAACATTTTTACTGGATTATTTCTGACCTCCAACCATTTAACTATGAGTATTGATTATGATTATTAATCTCTGGCTCTCTTCCACAGCACATGTCGTGCCAGATGGCCCCGCCCCTCCCCAAACCTGGTTCTGCTGGATCTTTCTTCCTGTTAAGTTTTTCCTTCCCACTGTTGCCAAAAATCTTGGTCATAGGGGGTCATTTTATTGAGGCAGCTGTTATTGTAATCCATATAAATGATGCCATACAAATAAAAGAAAATTCAAGTTTTTTTATATTTATAAGGTCAAAGATCTTTTTTCACCCTCCTTTAATTAAAATTCTTCTTCCTCTGCTGCAGCCATTTGTTGCCACGTTCACCTGGTATTAGCAGTAGATAAATAAACCACAAGTCAAGTTTGCATTTAACCTGAGAAAACTGAGCACAGAAAAGGAGTCAGGAGCAGACGCCGTTCAGAGAAAACTTTATTTATTCACTTTTTAAAAACAAGAATGACGTCGTGTCTTTGAGGGTTCAGCTTCCTGTTGCGGTGTGAGAGCATTATGGACACCTCACTGACAATCTACAAGGATCGTTTTAACCTCACAGAGCAAAACTTTATTTAAACACAGTGAAGGAGCAGTAACAGAAGTCTCAGACGACACCTCTGCAGGAGAAGAGCAAGCTCGAAGGTACAAAATACTTTATAAATACAGCGTGGCGGTACTTATAAAACTGAGAAAATATAAATATGTGTGTTTTCACAGACAGGAAGCAGCAGACACTCTCAAACCCAACAGGACAAAGATGGAGGACGACGGCTGTATGTGCGACGCGGCCCACAATCCTCATCCCTGACCGTCTAATCTACATATATACACCGACCCTCCAGAATCAGACCTCTGGTGGACACATCATTGGGAGAATAAGTGCTCTGAACACAAGAGGAAAAAAGAAGAAAAAAAAAAAAAGCTACAACAACAGACCTGATGTCAAATTAAAATCTCATAACAGAGGAGAGGAGGAGTTATGAGGAAAAGAAGGGGAGGAGAAAACATAACCCAGGAAAGGATGAAAGGAAACTGAAGTGCAACAAGTGTCTGTCACAGTCCGGCATCGTTGTACGTGGGTTTGACCACCTTCAGGATGCTCTGTGCGTTCTCCTCCACCAGGGGGCGCCACTTCACCTCTCCTGTGAGCAGCAGGTCGTCCCCGTCCAGCGCGTCGATGTACTGCATCTGCACACAGCAGCACGTCCACATTTACCCTCACAGCTGATGGATCAACATCGACTGTTTTCCTTTCTGCAAACGTTACTGCGTCATAAACTCTGTGAATAAATCTCACGGATTTCTAAGGAAACACATCAGGTACAATTTCCAGGTTCCATCAACATTTTGAACTACTCGCACGTCCATCAATCCTCTGCTGCTTCCCTGGAGTTGAGTCTTAGGGCTGCAGCCTAAGCAGAGAGGCCCAGACCTCCCTCACCCTTCCCCCCCTCCTCCAGTTCATCCGGGGAACAGCGAGCTGTTCCCAGACCAGCTGAGAGAGTCTCATTTCTACCCCGGGAGCCTCCAGGTAGGACATCTTCACCCAGGAAGAGACATCCCGAGTCCTTCCTGAATGATGAGACTCCTCACCCGCTGTATAACGCTGAGCCTCACCACCTTTCCAAGAAAACTCAGTTTAACCGCTTATTACCGCGAACTCGTGTTTTGGGTCATTACCCAGAGCTCACGCCCATCGCTCAGGGTAATGACGTAGATGGACGGTAAATAATCAGCTTTGCTTCTTTAGCGCTGCTGAAGAACTATCCTAATAAGCCCCAAGCTCTCAGTGCAGACATGGAAAACCAACTAATTCTGTCGGACCGCGAGCAGCTCACTGTGGGAGAGCTCTCTGCATGGAGACGTGCACATAAACCAGTGTTAAACCCAATTTGCTCATCAGCAGAAGACTCTGGATTCCTGTGGTTAAGAAAACAGATGGAGTCAAGCCCGGAGAACGTGGGCCCGAAGCATGTGCCGAGGTCTTATCAGGACATCACAATTCAAACGCAACAAAGTGCACGTGTTAGAAAGACTAAAGCTCACCTGTTTGCGGACGTACTCCACCATGAGCTCGAGCTGTCCGGGGTCTTCACACTGACGGTTGAACAGGTTTCTCCACAGAGCCGCCGCCAGCACACAGTCATCGGACAGGATTCCCTGCAGGTACCAACACACGTGTTCACATGCATGAAGTTTCTTCTAACCTGATATCTGCAGTTGTTGTTTGCTGACATGTCCCAGCTGTGTGATCCAATCAGGATCCAGACTTTGGACCGGAGTTAAAATTGAGTGAGTCTGCAGTGCATCTAAGATGAACTCTCAAAGGTCATTCGAAACAGATTTCCAGTCGCCTTTGAGCAGAGTTTGAATATCGGCCGTAAAACAGCAAGTTTAAAATTCTTTGTCTTACCTCGTCGTATCCAAATATCGCTGCATAGAAGGTTTCGGTCATCGCTTTCATCGCTTCCTTTCTGTGGATGGCATCAATCTGCATCATTAAACAGAGGAAGACAAATCAGAGTGAAGCACAGCAGAGATTGAGAATACAAGATTTGTACATTCGTGCCAGGCAGAAACGTCTGGGCTGGAAAAGTGAAGCCAAGGCTGAAGTGCAGAAACCTGCAGTTCCTCTAACGTCCAGCAGAGGCTCCAGCAGGGAGTCAGTGCCATAGACTCCCATGTTAAAACTTTACAGCAGAAATAAACATGTTTAGAGTCTGACACACAAACTGTTTGGTCTCTGTGGAGAATTCTTCCTTCATAGCTGCAGAGGGGGTTAAATTGCAATAAAGCTTAAAAGTTTGAATATTAGGGGGCGTGGCCTCTTTTTGACTGACAGGTGGATGGCGACACAGGCGGCTGTAGCTGCTAGCTGTCTGCTCTGTTTGTGCTGTCAGAGCCTTTTGGTGCATTTTTAATGACATTTTCTGACCAATAATATGGCTGCTGTCAGGTTAACTCTATGGGGACGCTGAATGTCCAGTCCCAGGTTTGTCCAAACACTTCCAATAATTTTGGAGATGTCAATATTGAAATAAAAAAAAAAAAAAGTTAAATAAAGTACAGGTTCATCATTTGATTGATCAAAGAAGTTTTGATTACCAAGTAAAAACTGCAAAACATTCTGATTCCCAATTCTTTTTCTATTCATATACACATGATACTTTTCACCATTTTTAATAGAAAAATAAATAAATACATTTTAAAAACCCACACATTGACCAGTAAAATCAAAAAACGCTCCCTGTGCTGTTCATTTGTTCTACTGGACGACTGAAGCTCTCGGGCCGCAGGTGAATCACACGGATCATACTGTAGGGTCTGTGCGAAGGTTTGCACCAACACTGTCGTGCACACAGCAAAAATGGAAGGTTTTCTGACATTTACAGTGGGGCAAAAAAGTATTTAGTCAGCCACCGATTGTGCAAGTTCCCCCACCTAAAATGATGACAGAGGTCAGTAATTTGCACCAGAGGTACACTTCAACTGTGAGAGACAGAATGTGAAAAAAAAAAAAATCCATGAATCCACATGGTAGGATTTGTAAAGAATTTATTGGTAAATCAGGGTGGAAAATAAATATTTGGTCACCTCAAACATGGAAAATCTCTGGCTCTCACAGACCTGTAACGTCTTCTGTAAGAAGCTTTTCTGTCCCCCACTCGTTACCTGTATGAATGGCACCTGTTTGAACTCATCATCTGTATAAAAGACACCTGTCCACAGCCTCAAACAGTCAGACTCCAAACTCCGCCATGGCCAAGACCAAAGAGCTTTCGAAGGACACCAGGAAAAGTATTGTAGACCTGCACCAGACTGGGAAGAGTGAATCTACAATAGGCAAGCAGCTTGGTGTGAAAAAATCAACTGTGGGAGCAATCATCAGAAAATGGAAGACATACAAGACCACTGATAATCTCCCTCGATCTGGGGCTCCACGCAAGATCTCATCCCGTGGGGTCAAAATGATCATGAGAACGGTGAGCAAAGATCCCAGAACCACACGGGGGGACCTGGTGAATGACCTGCAGAGAGCTGGGACCAAAGTAACAAAGGTCACCATCAGTAACACACTACAACGGCAGGGAATCAAATCCCGCAGTGCCAGACGTGTTCCGCTGCTGAAGCCAGTGCATGTCCAGGCCTGTCTGAAGTTTGCCAGAGAGCACATGGATGATACAGCAGAGGATTGGGAGAATGTCATGTGGTCAGATGAAACCAAAGTAGAACTTTTTGGTATAAACTCAACTCGTCGTGTTTGGAGGAAGAAGAATACTGAGTTGCATCCCAAGAACACCATACCTACTGTGAAGCATGGGGGTGGAAACATCATGCTATGGGGCTGTTTTTCTGCCAAGGGGACAGGACGACTGATCCGTGTTAAGGACAGAATGAATGGGGCCATGTATCGTGAGATTTTGAGCCAAAACCTCCTTCCATCAGTGAGAACTTTGAAGATGAAACGAGGCTGGGTCTTCCAACATGACAATGATCCAAAACACACTGCCCGGGCAACAAAGGAGTGGCTCCGTAAGAAGCATTTGAAAGTCCTGGAGTGGCCTAGCCAGTCTCCAGACCTCAACCCCATAGAAAATCTGTGGCGGGAGTTGAAAGTCCGTGTTGCTCGGCGACAGCCCCAAAACATCACTGCTCTCAAGAAGATCTGCATGGAGGAATGGGCCAAAATACCAGCTACTGTGTGTGCAAACCTGGTAAAGACCTATAGTAAAGGTTTGACCTCTGTTATTGCCAACAAAGGTTATGTTACAAAGTATTGAGTTGTATTTTTGTTATTGACCAAATACTTATTTTCCACCCTGATTTACCAATAAATTCTTTACAAATCCTACCATGTGGATTCATGGATTTTTTTTTCACATTCTGTCTCTCACAGTTGAAGTGTACCTCTGGTGCAAATTACTGACCTCTGTCATCATTTTAAGTGGGGGAACTTGCACAATCGGTGGCTGACTAAATACTTTTTTGCCCCACTGTAAATGTGAGAAAACCTTCCTGCTGCCGCACAGCCGGGTTTGTCGCCACTGAATCCAAAGGTGAACATTTCCCAATGCTGCACAGGCTGGAGTGTAGAGAGTGCGGGCGCTGAGGAGGCGCAGCAGTGATTATGAACGTGGAGAAAATGAGCGATGTTTTTCCTGCGCTCTGCCTCAGCCACTATGAAACCTTAGAGCAGCTCCAATCACTGCTGCTGGCTGTGTAAATATAAGCTGCTCATGTAGAGCTTGATTAGGAAATTTGCGTTTTAGGGAATCAAGAAAAAAAAAAGAAAAAAAGATGATTATCCAAGGAAAAAAAAGACTTCACGATGTTCACGGCTGCATGTTTATCTAACTCGCTTCTTGCTTTCGTCTGTTCCTTTAAAGATATTCAATTTATTCATATTTATGACTCTACAGTCCGATAAACACTCTTGATCTGATACACGTACAGCTTTGGCCATCAAACAGTGCTGCAGCCGCATCGCTAGTGAACGGTGCTAACGTCATGCAGCTGTACTGGCTGTGAGGCTGGGAAACCTGCAGTCAGTCAACAGCAGGAGCTCAAACGCAACGTCCGGACTAAAAGAACGTTCGGGAATCTCATCAGATGGATTATTCAGCAAGCATCAAACAAATAATAAGACTTAATAAGAATGAAAATAAGTCAAATTTTTCTGCTAACTAATGCTTCAGATGGAAAAATGTATTTTGCTGTTGCATAAATGTGCAAACGAAGCTTTTGGACTGTTCGGATATCACTGAGGGTAACATCACAGTCAGCTGTGCACAGTGAGGCTTCCTCAGTATCTCTGACTGCTGTACTGAGGTTACTGCTGTTATCTGCTGTTTGTAACAGGCTCAGGTCGTGATAATGATTGAAATGTGACATCATGAACGGACGGTTCACTAAAAACTTTAACTTGCTAAATAAAAATGGTAAATGGCCTGTATTTATATAGCGCTTTACTCGTCCCTAAGGACCCCAAAGCGCTTTACACATCCAGCCATCCACCCATTCACACACACATTCACACACTGGTGATGGCAAGCTACATCGTAGCCACAGCCACCCTGGCTGCCAGACACTGGCGCCACCGGGCCCTCTGACCACCACCAGTAGGCAACGGGTGAAGTGTCTCGCCCAAGGACACAACGACCGAGACTGTCGGGGCTCGAATTGGCAACCTTCCGATTACAAGACGAACTCCCAACTCTTGAGCCACGATCGCCCCACAAAACAGAGGAAACGTCCCCGAGCGCTTCCACAGATCTGCTGGCGAGCACTGAAACAAATCTTTGATTATCAAAACATCAGCAGATCGTTTTTCTGCCAGTAAACGTCTCGTTTCACCTTTCAGTCTGACTACAGGAGAGAAACCAGCTGAAAACAGCTGCTCTGCGTGTACAGCTGGGACATAAAGAAGCTGCAAACTTCCATGACTTAAGTTAATGACTTCAGCGTAAGGTTAAAGGTCACAAAACAAGTGAGCTCTGAACAAGAGAAATGTGAGGTCAGACTCGACCTCTGAACATCTTTACTATTGAACTTTAAAAGAAACCGGACTTTGTTGTAACTCTGTGCTGACACGCTTGACATACAGAACACGCAGGTTTACGTACACATGCTGACAAAAGGTCACGTATGCAGCTGTGAAAACACCTGCTGCGTACGAGACCGATGCATACGTGCCCACGCTGCAGGAGTGACCTCACAAGCCAGACTGTAATTTCTCATCTCTGACCTCTTTCTGTCACACGAAGCAAAAGGAGCAAAACTAAAGAGCTCCTTAATATGAAGAGCGCTGAAAGCTGCTGCTTGGCTGCCGCTGAGCTCGCTTTACAGCCAAATCCAAGAGGCTGTGATGGGGTGTGGATTCACACCTTCACTACGAGTCAACTAAATCTCCAAAGACCAGTCCCTCCTGCTCCCACCTGAACGGCAACCCTCTGATTTTATGAGTGTTTACACCACACGCTTAAAGATGAAAACTTTTCTGCTCCAACAAGGAAAGCTGCATCAGGCAGAAAATGTTTTCCTGCACTGGATGAAGCTCTGGCCCTTCTGCAGTTCTGTTTCTATTTGAAGGCACGAACCCAAAAGACTGTGACGCTCTCGCCTCTCCAGCGTTTTATCAGCTCTGTTCCTGTGCTGCACGTCTTTCAGCTCAGTGTTTAAAATACTGGCAGCAGCCTCCTGGTAGATACAGTAAAGATCTCAATCTCAAAATCCCACACCGCCTTGTACTCAGGTTATCGCATTCACAACCTTTTTCGTCAGGGCGTTAGCCATCAGCTAAAACTCTGTAACTGCAGCCCACGAGCTGACGGGGTCTTGGACTCCAAATATTTCACTGCCTCGGTGAAGAATCGGGACCAGCTGAGGGTTCAGTGTGGACATGGATCAGGTGTGGAAACCTGGAGCTGTGCATGGATCGTCTCGGACGTTCTATTGGACGAAGTTTGGTCGGCTTTTGACGTCGCATTCCTCCCACAGTGTCTCTGCTACTGAGAATCCTCAGCATGAACTTTGACTGAGAACAGCGTCGATCATCTAATTCAGCCAAAAACTCATAAATCCTCTTTTTCAGGTCTGATGTAGCGTTTGTGCGTATTGTGGTACGATGACGTTTTATGAAGGATGCTGAGACTGTGGACCGTTTTAACTCTCAGCAGCACCAAACTGTTTGATTTTGGAGAATTTTAAAGCACCTAAAAATATCAGGCTTAACAGTAAGTGGAGGGGTACAAACGTGCAATTCATAAACGAGGCTCAGAGGCAGGCGTGTCTCACTTTGGGACTACGACGTGAGGAAAGAACCGAGGATGCTCTGAGGAGTGAGAGCAGACTGCTCGAGCTGTGCTTTTACGCGTTTTGACCCTGTTTAATATCCTGCCGCCCTACATTTACATTCTTTGTCACAACTCTTTAATTCTTAAACGCAAACACCCGTAATTAAAGTGGGTTTTTCCCCTCTGTTAGCTTTGAGACTCGAATCCAGAATAATCTGCATTATAGAAGGACAAAGTGTTTCTGAAAGCTTCGTGTGCTCAGAGCCCAGATTTATGTCAATGAGCGACACTTCCTGGAGCTGCTCCACTGACAGAAAATAGAGGAACGACTCTGTGGACAAGGCGGCCGCAGCCAGGCTCGCTCTCCGGGGATTTGTTGGCACAATTACGCTGATGTAAAACTTTAAAATCAACAAAACCTGCATCCTTTGTAGCATGCAACGGCACGGATAAAACTGAACGCACTGTTGCATCAGCTCGAAGGGGAAATGTGGCTGAAATAATGAATATTTATGTAACAGAATGACATTTAGCTTGGAGACGTGTTTGTGTAGATTTGTGGCGATTTAATGTCACAGAAGCACTTCTGAGGAACCTGAGCTGCTGTGGAAAATACTGCTGCTGTCAAGTCTGTATTAATGCAGTAAAATAATCAGTCATCAGCGTGTGCTCGTTCTCAGCTCTTCAGTTCCAAACGTCTGCCCTGCTGAAGTTTTCATGTTTCATTCTGGAGCTAAAGCGATTAAGTTAATTACATTTAATAAAGAAAAACAATCAGAAAGCCAGTTCTCAAACTTTGCCCAGCGCCAGTTTCTAAATGATGAACATTTCCAGCTTTTGCTTTCTAAAACAGTAACTTAATACCTACGACTTTTGGACAGTTCGCTCCTGCGGCTCCCTGACCCGTGGCAGGAGGTGTAGGGGTCTGGTGCTGTGTGGATTGGGCCACGGTAAGGGGCGGACACCCCTGCGGGCCAATCCCTGGTTGCCAAAAGTGGCTCTTGGAACAGCACCCCTCTGGTGGGGAACAGCCTGAGAGTTCCCAGCTAGGGTTCAGACTCGGGCTTGCCTCAACAGTGTAGCATCTCGAACCCAGGGCTGGCCTCTGTTCCACTGTGGAGCTGGCCTCAGTGAAAGGTGGTGAGCAGGGGTGGGTCTACTTTTATCCCCCGAACTTGGCACCTGAACAGAAGGTTGCTTACCTGCGTCTGCAGGTTGAAATAAGTTGAGACTATGTGCCCAAAGACAGCTCAGAGTACCTTTAATACCTGGATGGGTGGAGTGCTCGAGGGTGCAGTGAAAGCTGGAGTGGCGTGACAGAAGGAAGGACTAACCGACCTGCAGTCGTTTGTCCATGATGAACACTTTAGCTTCACGCTGCTCCTTTAACTGGGAAGATGATCTATGAATGGTCCAGATGCACCGATGCAGTATTTGGATCACACATCCAGCAGCAGCAGCAGCAGCAACTGCAGCAGCAGCAGCTTGTCAGTGTGTTTGCTCCATTCAGTCCATATTTAATAGATTTATTTATATGAGGTTATTTGACAAAGTCAGCTAATCAGTGCTACACAGTCGAGCCTCGTCCTCCCCGTGAGGACAAGTTACTGCAGCTTACAGGATCTGCAGATAAATGCAGCTGGGATAAGCTGGACTGAGCATTCCCAGTGAGCTGGGGTTGTATCGGTGGTCCGGGGCATTTCCAGGAAAGCAAAGGAAACAAAAGAAATGCTGACTTTGAATCTTTGTGGTTTACTTTGTGGGCGGAAAACTTCCAAGTTTGCAAATCCCAAAATTACAGAAACCTTTTAATTTACCTCAGAGCGTGCGGTAGATCTGTGTGTGCTCTGATCATGTGACTTTTCTTTCAGAAAACAGGGTTTCCTGCATTTCTTTGCAGCTTTCAACAGAAAAAAGTCAAAAATATTTTAATTTAGTTTGAGTAAATAATCCCAATTATTCAAAGTTCACATTTTGAGCAGGAGACGACTGTTGTGCGTTTGTCTATTCTGTTACTTTGTTTTCTCATCTTTTCACTTTCATGCTTAAGTTGAAAACAGTCTGTAATCACCACATTTCCATGAACAGTTGGTTACTGACATTATGAAGCAGATGCAGCAGCTCAGTGGAGCTGACTCAGATCAGGGTTAGACTGCACAGCAACACGAGTCCTGTTCGTGGCGAAGGCAGTTCGTACGTGCTGATCGACATTCACATCACACAGCTGTGAAACACTGACCGTGTGCTGCAGGAGACTGAACCACTGCCAAAGCATTCCTGCTGGAACCTGAAGATCCAGATTCTGTTCCAGCAGGAGAGCTGGCCGATTCTGACAGCAGCGCAACCTCTGCTGCGGCCGTAACCACAAACCTATCAGCCAATCAGCCGAGTTGATGCAAAAGCTTCAACACGGGATTTTTGTCGCTGAGGGAGAATTAGAGTGAAAGCTTCTGTTACACACTAAAACTCTGGCAGGAATTAAACAGCTGGGAAAATATCTGAATTTGCAAACTCAGCTTCAGTAAATAACCCGAATGAAAGAGTAACAGAAAACCTTTGTTACATGATCATTTTAGTTTTAAACCAAGAATAAATCAGGATTTCAGGCATCAAACATACAAAGTTCCAACAGGCTGAGATCTTTCTCCCAGCAGTGACGCTGAAAAGTGGAAATACAGTCGCATGATATTTACAGCCTGTGTATTATGCACGCTGTGCACCAGCCTGCGTGTGTGTGTGTGTGTGTGTGTGCGCGCACTTCACGATATGACAGAGGGTCTGGTTGCAGCTGTTGCTGTGGTTACCGTGGCTGCTTTGTTGGTATTGCTTCTGTTGCTTTCGTTTAGTTGCAGAAGTTATGCAGACGTTGCTGCACACGTAGAGGTCGGTTGTCTCTACATGTGTTGGTGTCTTTGTGGAGACTTTAATACTCTCAGCTGAGACTGTTTCACCTGCTTTCATGCCTCTGAATTTAATTTTTTTTCCCTTCAAGATCAGAAACACAACGTACCCCCATGATTTTGCTCCTCTGCTCCACATCCTCCCACATGGAGTGCACGATGTAACGGCACATGTACTTCCCCTCTCTGCCCTCCTGACGCATCCGCACCAAACACATCCTGAGAGCACAAGAACACAACAAGGAGACTGAAACGAGCGCACAGCCTTAAATCGCTGTGACGAGTGAAGCCGTGTGCTCATCGTATGAAGAGCGTCACTGTCCCAGCCACAGCAGGAGCAACAGCGACATCATTACATCATTAAAAACTATCAGACGCTTCCATTTAGACCACATAAACACATCAATAATAATAATAATACAATTATATATTATATGCATTCTCTCACTGTGAACTGGATTCTTTGCATGCTACAGAGGACGTTTAATGTTACACAACATGTGAAGGAAGATAACTGTCAAAGCAAAAATACATCACATGACACACGACTGGGCTAATAAATGCACGGAAGAGCAGCAACCGCACAGACAGCGCGGTCGACACGGACCACGGCTCCCTTTGCTGCTTACGCCAATCAGCACACAGATTCCTCAGAGCAGCAAACAAACCATCTGATTGGCTGATTGGATAAATCCAGCTGTACAGGTGTACCTAATAAACTGGTAGCTGAGAGGATGCGTTTGTGCGACTCACCATACGTGCAGCTGTGCAACCAGGAACCAGGAGTTGAGAGTGTCAGGGAGGGTGCACTCTGAAACACACACATTAGGATTCATTAGGATTCTCTGCACGCCGCACCTGCGTCAGACTCTGCAACTACATCAGCATACAGTAGGGCTGTTTGACGTCACCACGTATATCGGACGACGATATGAAAACGTCTATCGTTTCATTTTACACACCATCATTGTTTCGAGGTGTCGCAAAAACTGTTTGCGGGAACATTGTTCATGGTTTTGATGGTCACTGTAGCAGCTGTATTCATTGGTTAATGTTCTCTCTCTTATATAAACACACTGCGGACAGACAAGTGACTGTTTTTACACGTTGTCGTTAGCAACAACAAAGGTAAACCCAGCATGTGGCTCTGCCGTCCGCTTGTTTATTTCCCACATAAATCTTTCACAATAAAGCTGAAGATCTTTTTGAGATTTTCCAAAATAAATGACGACAAACAGAAGGACCAATCAAAACGAGGGGCTGACACTGTAGCGTGGACATGGTTTGGTTATGAGAAGTCTCACACCAACACCTCAGACTCAAACACGACAAACCTCTGCTGCCACCGACGCACGAGTCACGTGACAGAGTGTGGAGAGAGTTTACTGATGAGGAGCAACGAAGAGCCGCCAGGTGCTCCAAATAAACCTCAGACTCAAACGTTAGCACGGGCTTTTCCCCGCAGCACGTCGTGGGATAAATACTCACAAAGAAAAATGGCGGCCGTTACAACTTATGTCTACAAATGTATCGTTTCATGCATCGCGATTCACAGAATTTACAGAAAATGTAACATTTTTGTGATAAATATGGCTGTCGGGACGACAAATGAGATTTTGGTCATATCGCACAGCACTAACATAAGATGTGCTTTTCTTTTTAAAACACTCATATCTGAGAGTTTAAGGGGAATAAGCGGCAGAGCTGAAGGTTTGAACGTCTCCAAAACACAAAGCGACACATTTACCGTCCACGCCTGAGTGGGAAGGTGACGATACCACAGAACGGAGGACAAATCCACAGCTCAGAGTTGAATCCTTCACAGCTGGGAGTCATATCAGCGTTCGTTTTAAGCTTCTCATTACGTGAGATTTATATCTGAGCTCTTCGGTTTGTTCTGCGTTTGTGTTTTTATGTTACTGAGAAAAGTTGTTCTTCAGGTTTTTTTGGGATAAATATCAGCAAACACAAGCCCGTCACCAATAAGCATGTCCGAGGCAAAGTGGGAACAACATGAACGGCGGCCCAGGGAGCCGAGCGTGGTAAACTCACTGTCGAAGAACTCGTCGTAGTTGATTCTCTCCACGCAGCACGTGTACATCCGCAGAGCAGCAATCTTGATTTTCTGTGGAAACAAAAACATCACGTCTGACGTCGTCACTCTGCAACCACAACATCGCACTCACAGCTACAGCTGACAGCTACGAGTTGCTCTCACCAAACATGAAAGGGGAGTCGGGGCGTTCATGAGGCGAAGTATTTCAATCAGCTGATTCTCGTGATGTCACTGACATTCAGAAATGGAGGAGGGGCTTAGTGATGGCGTTTGAGGGCAGCTGAACATGGTGTAAGTGAAGGAAAACACCAACTTCAGAGCTCTGCTGCGTTGTGGCAAACATCACTCATAGGAAAGGCCTCGGCAGGCGACCCTCCTGCGATGGCGCAGAGACAACACGCTGGCTTCCTGTTGAAGCTGTCAGGGGGCCACGCTGCCCGAGTAACAGCCAATCAGCCTTTACACCCCAGCGGCCACAGTGCAGACACTCATTCCAGCTTTTCTTTACTCCTCCGTGTCCTGCTGGCTGTTGGGGCGAAGCGACTGGACTGTGTGGGAGTAATTACACTTCCTGCCTAGTGTAAATGCACCACTACACTTCCATTACCAACATTTGTCAATGGAAACCGGGGGGGGGGGTACAAAATGACATCAAACAGGCAAACTTATCCAAATGAGTTTGCCGCCTGGTTCAGCAACTTTCAGCTGGAAGGGCGACTCGCCCGATGAGCTTCATTTAACAACAGCGAGCATTTCTGTGGGATTGTTCTGGGATTTAAGGCTGATCTGTGCGTCTCTGACGGCGGTTTTATCTGTAGAGTAAACACGCGCAGGAGCAGGACACGAGTTCGGAGGTGTGCCAGCGAGCCAAACGCTGCCGGTCCGGCGGGCGGCCCAGCTCTCTGCTCGCCTGACATTCCTCGGCACACATGCAACCTTCCCGCCTTTAGCCAAAACCTCCCACATCACTGAAGCCTGCCACAGCTCCAACTGTTTATTCCTTTAGTGACCTGCGCATTCCTGGAAAACATACCGACTACAAGAGTGTGACGCCATGAATGAAAGCTACACACGCGTGCACACACACACCTCTGGTGAATATCACTCCCACTGCAGTGACGTTATTTGTATTTTTGGCCTTCTGCATCTTCCATAACAAATGTTTTATTACTCTGTTGTGTCCAAGTGCAGTTTGGTTTTATTCAACCACAGAGAGCAGGAGGGGAAACGCTGCCCTGACAGTACAGGTAGAAACGTCTGACCCGACACACCGGTTAGTTTTTGTTACCTGTCGACCAATCAGGGTGGCACACATTCATCAGAAGGTGCGTTTAAAGGACGTAAGCGTGTTGCTTTTGAATGAAAGGTTGTTTGAGTGCAGAACGGACACGTCAGCAGGTAACAGGCGGCCTGGGAGGCACATTAAACACATTTAACATGACTAAGTGCTCGTGTTGATTTCACACATCAAATGAAGCCAAATCACCATCACCTGCTCGTTTTCAGCCCACGTCTCACCCGTCTCTTCTGCACTCACCCATTTATTGTATTTGAGCGGTCCCGTGAAGCCCATCGCCTCGATGAGCTTTGTGAAGGCGCCGACCTCCTCGTCCGTGTGCTGATGCGTCTCCTTCACGTTACGGAGCTGAAGGACAAAAAGAAAAAGCGGAGCGGTGAAAAAAACGACAGCGAAAACAGAAACTGCTCCTTCAGCAGGTGGGATGTCAAACGTGTGCTGCGTGACCCTGGTTTAATCAGCACGTGACGACGCACCTGTGCGGCGCGACCTTTACCGCTCACTAAATTAATACGCTGACCTACTCCGAGCTGCACGCCGTCTTCGTGCTTTGACAGTTTTATTACAGCCACCACGACCCCGCTAACCTTCATCAGGACGCGCAGATGTGCCGAAGTTTTCTCCCAGTTTTCAAGCTTCATTAAAAACAACAAAACCAGTTGAAGCCTCGAACACACGGAGCAGGCAGGAAGTGCTTTAAAGGCACGAATACGACACGACTGAACTCAGAATTCATTAAATTCATCCTGAAATCCAAACAGGTGTGAAAAACTACAGGCTGAATAATCAACCCTTTAAAAGAGGAATTACAGTTTATTTGTTTTCATTTAAGCAGAAAATGAGGAGGTCCCGAGTGCAGAACAACTGGCTTCACAAAATGCCTCCGAGATGACGGAGATGGAATCGACCGAGTGAAAAGAAAAGTGTTATTTATCAGCAAAGAGTATATATGTTTGGCATATCGGTGGCCCCCCCCACTGGGACAAAAGAGCTGCTGCACAGCTGTTTTGAAGCAGTCCATCTGTGGGTTAAACAATGAGGGTTATTTGTTCATGTGCTTGCATGAGATGTTACCTGTGTGGCGACATGCAGCGTCCGGCACGGCGTTACTAATGGAGAGGAGACGCCCGCCTGCTGACAGGCGGCCAGCGCTCTGAAACAGGCTTCCTGATCCAACCCCTGCAAGGAGAGAGAAGTTAAGTCAGGCTGAACACAAACGATCGACTGTTTTATTTGTTGACTTGTTTTTAAAGACGGATCAAACACCTGCTCGTCTCCCACTAACAGCAGTGATCTTCACGTCACAGCTCAGTGTTGTTCTCAGGTTTAGCCAGTTTTCGTGACCCTTTAGCATTTTTTGTTTGAACTGCACGAAACATCCTTCATTAACCCTCTGACTGCTGGACAGGCTTTCTCTGAGTCAACATTTATAAACTGTTAAGTCTCTGCACCACCCAACGTCACTGAGTAGAAAGACCTGCAACAATAATCTGATTAACTGATCTGATTAAGTTCATTCAGATTTGTAAAAACATGATGTAAATTTAAAACCTTTCAAAATGGACTAAAGCTCAAAGAGAATGAAGAGACCGCTGCTATGAGCTGATGGCCTAAACTCCCATATACTGTCTCAAAGAGACACTGAGGGAACAACAACAAATATTAAACCTCAACATCTGCATCAGCACAACTGCTGGCAAAGCTTTAGTTCAATTCTCAAAAAACATTTAGTACCTAAAGAACCTTTAGGTCATTATCTGGTTGTTGCTTTAAATGGTGGTTATTGAAACAGCTGCTGCACTGCACATGTGCAAAGAGCACAGCTTAAAGCCTCTGTCACAGACTGAATCAGCCAGGCCTGTGGCAGAAGACAAACACCTCGAGATTTCAAAGCGGTGCCAAAATAAAACTTCACCACACTCAGAAAGAAATGCACACAAGACTGAGAAAGTGGGCCACCTCCTCTGAGCCCAGAGTTCATTTAAGATGATCAGACATGAGGGGGGGTCACCTTTCCTGTGAGCTGAATAATCAATAACCTAAACGTGACCCTGCACAGCTCAAAAACCAGCTCCTGTGACGGACCGATGGACTGTTTGTCTGTGAAGGCACCATTTATGCTAAACAGTATTACAGACTTCAGAATAATATTTTCTGCGCTCCAGTCTTTTTCCAGGTAAAGCACCACTTACTTCAGCAAGACGAAGCCCAAACATCCTGCATGTATTAAAAGAGCCCGCGTGCATTGGACACCCTGGACCCTCAGACTGATATTAAAATGTCCAACTTTACAGCAGGAAAAAAAACATGTTTACAGCTGGATACAAAAATCCTTTCCCTAATCCAATTTCATACTCGAGTTAGGCGACTTTGAGTAGTATCCCAGCTGTGGATGTGTGCTGCTTCAACTTTAAATGTTGCTGCTCGTGCTAGTCGGCACTAAAAGTAGCAGTCCGTTACCCTCACTTTATTATAGTGCGGCGGCACCTTGGTGCACAGGCCTGACACACAACAGCACCTCTCCGAAGTGTAACCGAGTCCACTGTGCTCAGCTGATTATTTTCTGACACTTGGATCAGCTGACTAGGTGACAAGTCCCTGAACTGAACTTCTGGACCATGTTTGTGTCCTTTTTATGCAGTTATCGGATAAATAATACGGCGGCTGTGCCACATTATTTGTCATATTTGTCTCTGGTCCAGTTTTTGACAGTAAACCATTGGACGGTCTATACTGGTCTATTTGTTGCACCTCAACCTTCGTTCACTTCTACCTCCTGTAAACATCATCATCATCATCATCATCATCATGCCAACAGGATAACACAGAGGTTTTAACAACACAAACAGCTGACACGTCCATCATTTAAATACAGTCTATGGTTCAGTGACCCATTAAAACATTTGGACCAAAGCGAAGCTCGAACACGTGACTGATGACTCTGGTCTTCTACAGAGTAATTTCATTATCTCGGGTGACAAACACGTTATTATTCACATATGACAGAAGCCTCGGATTGAACGTGTGATGTAGAGTTTCTGTGCTCGGTGTAAAGAAAGCCTTTAAACTGGGAGCGCACTTTAGAGCTGTTACTGCGAGTCTTTGGTCGAGTTCGCCTCCATTAATCTGAGCCCTGAGATTAATCCTGCTAATGGAGCTCGCAGGCTGTCCGTGTGAGTCTGTGTGAAACTCAAACACACACGGAGACAGATGAGCGCTCACTCGGTCACCTGTCGCTGTGTGTTCACCCAGCTGTCACCTCGAACATCAGCCTCAACTTCTTCACCTGTTAGCCGGCTAAGCTAACGCCAGCGGGGCGTTTCTTACCTTGCCCCCGGCGGAGGCGGCCCTGCAGGCGGACACATGAGCGAAGCTTCTGGCGGCGAACTGCAGCGGCCGCCGATACATGGCTGCACGAAGACCCGCTGTTAGAGCCGAGAAGCGGGCTGCAGAGTCACGGAGGCTCCCTGCACGGAAACCTTCTGGTTTGGTAACAGCAGCAATGTCAACGGAATCTGTCCGGCACTGAATAGTGTCCGGGTAGAAATATACAAAGCGAAGAAAAGGTCCGCTTTTAACCCGCTCCGATTAAAGTTGAATCTTCCATTGCTGGAAGAGGAACTTGGAGCCTTCACTGAAGTTAAGCAGGAATACTGCACTGCAAAAATACCATTCAAAAGAAAGTAGACTTAAAGCGCTATGCTCAAGCATCCCCACCCCCCAATCTTAATAAGGTAACAAAAAACAATCAAATGCGCGCGCACACACACACACACACACACACACACACATATATGTATTACAAAGTCACAAAAAGTAAAAACAGATGGCCCCGCCCCTCCCTGAGCCTGGTTCTGCTGGAGGTTTCTTCCTGTTAAAAGGGAGTTTTTCCTTCCCACTGTCGCCAAAGTGCTGCTCATAAACAAACATTTTAATTATAATTCCACAAAGAGTAAAGTAACTGTACACTGGGGGATAACAAGCTTTGTAAGAATTAAATCTACTGACAATGACAAATGTGACGTTGACCTTGAGTGCATTTCCAGTGAAGACCTATTATCATTGTGTGTAAGCTTTGACCAATCCTCCAAAAGGTCTGTGCATGGATGGACTAACAAATGTCTCACAATAGCATGAGCTTATAAGTCCTTTGGCTGTGCTAAAATAAATTGGACACATAATTTTAAATGTTTGCTTTCCATCCCACAGAAAATAGGATTTTCCTTCCAGGAATACTGCAATGATGCAACATTTCCCACCAAAGTCACATTCAAGGATGGTACAGCAGGCTGACATAAACCATAATTATTCTTTAAATCTGTAAAAAGTCTTTGACAAGGAAACCCGATTACCTCTCCGTCAAACTTGCTTTGTAGTTAGAGCCAATAAACAGAGTGGAAACATCAGTGGGACACATTAAGACTTTAAAAACAGTCTCATGTTCTTTGTGGACACAACAGCTGAGGTAATGTTTGAGTTGCCCCTCCATCACTTTCAGTTTTTCCCGTGTCTCAGCTGGAAGTGTTTGTGTGTGCGGGGGTTTCTGTCGTGTTGCAGTTAGAAGGTCACAATCATTAACGGTAACCTTCAGCAGAGAGTTGCACTGTCGACACCTCAGCCTGAACGTGAGAGAGGACAAATATTGTTCAAGGCCAGAGAATGAAGTGGTCCTTCAGAAGAAAGACAAACAGGAGTCCAGAAAAGACAAAGAGAAACAGAAGGAAAAGGGTGTGAAAAGGGAAAAGTGGAAGGTCGAGTGCATTTTCACGGAGGAAATGAAATCAGCGGCGTCAGATCGATGCTGAACACAAACTCTTACAAAAATACTGCAGCGCTGAGTTATGAGACACAAACGAGCTGGAGAGGCCAGGTCTGGTTTCTGCTTCCTCTGCAGTCAGTCTGAAGTTTTACTCCCTACGCTGACCTCACCTGACAACACACGCGCACACACACGCACGCACACACGCACGCACACACGCACACACACACACACGCACACACACACACACACACGCACACACACGCACGCACATACACACGCGCGCGCGCACACGCACACACGCACACGCACACACGCACACACACACACGCACACACACACGCACGCACGCACGCACGCACACACACACACACACACACACAAATTCCAAAAAAGTTGTTTAAAATGTAAATAAAGTAGAATCCAGTGATTTATAAATCTCACACTTTACACAATAGCACATAGAAAAGATTAGAAAATGTTCAAATTTTAGAAAGATATGAGCTCATTTTGAACTTCATGGCAGCTGTTTGTCTCTAAATGTTGGGACAGGGACGTGTTTCCCACTGTGCAGTTTCCCTTCTTCTTTTAACTACAGTCTGTAAACATCTGGACTTCCAGAAGAAGAATTCCCAGAATTCCCATTCTGGTCTGATGGAGGAGTCGAGCTGCTCGGCAGTCCTGGCGCTTCTTTTCCTGTCTTTGGTTCCACGAAGCTCCACATGTTCTCAGCCGGTGAAAGATCTGGACTGCAGGCACCCGGACTCTTCTACTGTGAAGCTAAACTGCCGGATGCCGTCTGTGGTTTAGCATCATCCGGCTAAAATATGGAAGCCTTCTCTGAAAAAGGTCTGGTTCGGACATATGCTGTTTAAAATCCTCTGTATTGATGGGACCCCTCCCACCTGAACTGGATTAGCGGGAGATGAGAGATGAGATGGATGCTATGTCTTAATGAACTGACGGAAAACTTTTATAAACTGGAAACAAATGAAAAAAAAAAAAGCATAATTGTTTATTAATCTGAGGGAAGACAACCAGATTAATAACTGTAGGGAAAGGTTACAAAAGCCTTCGGGGGTGGATTAATAATCTGGCCTCATTTAGCTGCAAACAGGTTTATTAATGAGTGTTTTAACTCCTGATGTTTTATGGTTTCACAAGTAAAAATAGAAGATTGTCTAATATTATAATGAACCGTAGATTCAGGTTTAGTTTGGGTTTAGGTGACGTTAGGCTTAGGTCAGAGACTGAGGGTGTAAATGCTTCAGATGCTTAGACTTTAGGAAATGCCAGCACACATGCTGGTTTTACACGAGAACTAAATGAGCATCCGCTCTTTAAACTGGTGCGGTCCAACCCTGCGATGGCCTGTAGAGACGCAGCAGGTATCCTGTGGATGAGATAATATATTCCACTTGTGCATTCACTTTTTAGAGGTGGGCACAGTCCAAACACACTTTTTTGTTTTTTGTGTGATTGTCTGTGTCTGCAGTTGTGCGTTTTTGTATTAATAAAGAGTGATAAATGACAGGCGGAGAGGAAGTGTTGGATTCCTGCTCGGCTCCTGTTTCTGTGAGAAACCTCGCTAAAGAAAGCAGACATAAATAATGGCTGCCACGCCGCCATCCTGCCTGCGATACACTGCGTCTGTGTTCATGTATTACTCATGTTGTGGGGACAGAAGTCTGTTTACACAGTCGCGTTAAAGGGAACGACTTCCTTTGGAGGACCTGAAGCATATCGCTGTTACGTCCACTGAAAAACTGAATAGGCTTAGTTTAAGCTAAGATTTAGATTAGTTTTAGGAACATAACTCCTGAGCTTTAGCACAATATTCCAGTTTCAGGAGACAGACCCTCTCTTTTTTGAAAGACTTTTCCTTTTTGATAATTTTATACTTAGTCCTGGATCAGGTGATCTAACTCAACCTTTGGTTATGTTGTTATTGGCCAGCGAAACTATTACAGAGAGACACGGCGCTCAGAGAGTCCCGAAGTCAAATCTGTGGGTGAGTTCTGTAAGACCAAAGATGGTCATTTACTTCCAGATGATAAAAGAATAGATGGCCTCCTCTGGGTTGCTCCCCCAAGTCACCGAGTTCAGGCATGTTGTATAATGTTTTCAGGCGATGGGAAGGTGGAGCTAGAGGTGTATCAGGCCATCATGGTGGAGATTGGAGAAGGATCTTAGCTGGATGGTGATGCTTTGGATTTACTATCAAATCTAAATCTACGCCAATCCCCACCTGTGGTCATGAGCTCATGGTAGTAACTGAAAGAATGAGGTTGTGGATGCAAGCAGCCAAAATGAATTCCTCCGTAGGGTCGCTGGGTTCAGCCTTGGAGGTAGGATAACACGCCAGACATCTGGAAGAAGCTTGGAGTGGAGTTGCTTCTCCTTCACTTTGAGAAGAGCCAGCCATCTGATTAAAATGCTGCCTGGCACTTTGCCTTGGAGGTGCTCTGTCCCAAATGAGAGAAGAGAGATTATGTATCTTGTCTAACAGCAGTACCTCCTGAATCTCCAAGAGCGAGAAGATGGACGGATGGACGGATGAAACGCTCTATAACACCAAAGTTTGGATAAAGTTAGAAAATATTTCAAGTACTTTTGTCTGATCAGATTTGATTGTACACATGCATTTATGTGGCCAGAAGCAGTTCAGGATGGTTGCAGAGTGGTGAAGCTTGTTTCTGGAAGGACTTTGTATTTTGTACTCAGGACTGAAAACATCTTCACTCCTCTCTTTTCATGCTCCATGTATTTATGTGCCACTTTTTTCTCCTCTCAGAAAATGTCTGGCTCTCCCTGAGCCTGGTTCTGCTGGAGGTCTCTTCATGTTTTTTTCCTCTCACTGGTTTCCAAGTGCTTCCTCCCAGGGTCACAGGTCATCATCTGACTGTTGAGGTTCTCTCTCACTGTAATTTATTTTTATTTTATTTTCCAATAGAAAACATTTTGAGATGATCTCAAACTCAGTCTGGTCCTCACTAAAAGGCCTAACCTAGCACACACACGCCAGGTATTCATATCTTGCTTTCCCTGCCCCCAACCCTTACCATGAAAAATGAATGCCTAACTCTAACCCTCAGCCCAACCACAACCATAACCATAACCTAATAACCTAGATAATAATAATAATAATAATAATAATAATAATGGTTTGTTGTCTACAGTTTGGTTCTTAACTGCAGAAAGTAGCAAAAACGATTAAACGCTTGAACGACTGCTCGGGAGGTGTGATCCCAAAGTACAGATGAAAAGTGTAAAATACAAACCCGAACCCTTGATTTAACTCTACTTACATCATCTACTGGTGCACCTCTGAGCTGTGTTTGCTGTAGCTGCTGTTTTTAGGTCTCTCAGATCTCACAGTCAGCTGTTATCTGTGCGTCTGCGCTGGCTGCTGGATCTCCAGCATGTCTAACATGTACCACAGCTCAGGCTTGAACACACTCCTTCTGATGCCTCAGGATGTCACGGTGGGACTCTGAGGACTTCAATAAAGGTGTGGCCTCTTTGACTGACAGGTGGATGGTGACACAGGTGACTGTAGCAGCTAGCTGTGTGCTAGGCTTCAACTCAGCTAACTGGAGTCCCTGAACAGATTTTAATGAAATAATCCGACTTGTTGCGCCGTAGTGCTTGTTTAATAAGTCTGTGCTGTATAATGCATCTGTAGAGTTTACGAATGCACATTCCTGCCTTAAACTGATGCTTTAGCGCTCCACCATCTTCAAATATATGTACTTCATCACGGTGACTTCAAAATATGAAGTTCAGACACCAACAACT